TGAAAACTGAACCTGCATGCTAGGGAAAACACAAGGAAAAACACAAGGAAAAACCTGCAAATCCTCATGTATAACTAAGCAATTCAAACTGTGGGGTGTTTTTCAAACTAGTAGATATAAAATACTCAGCCACTTTGCCTCCTCCCTGCTCTTTCTCTTTATAAGAAAGTCAGTAAACAGGAAGGGGAGTAGGGGAGGTTTCTTGCATGCTGGATGCAAAATTGTTTTACTTGACTCTTTTAACAAACTACCCTCACTGGTAGAACCGCAAGTGTCAAAGTCATGAATATTTCCTCTCATTTTTTTTCAGCCTTAGGGCTGATAAATTGTGTTGAATACAAAACTAGATGAAAAATTATTTTGGGATTGCCACTTCAATTTTAGATTTCCTTCTTCTCCCTTTCTCTGTTTCCTCCCCTTTTCCTCTCTTGTCTTTGTTTTGTAGTCAAGCCAAACTCACAATTTTGCTGGATTTTGTTTTGAGACCTGTTAAACTCCCTTGATTTTGCCTATGTTTTTCTATTGGTTTCTGAATTGGTTTCAATTTGTAGTTCAGAGCCAGTTTTAGGTGGCCTGGGATTACACGTGCCTTGCCACCAGAACAAAGGAAGTCTGCTTTGTGAACTCTGGCAAAGCTAAATCCTTCTTCACATATCCGCTCCAGAGAGCAGGCCCGGTTTTGAACTAGTCTCTTGAAACAGGGAATTACAAATCTTAGTTTCAGTGTGAAAATAGGGGTATCTATACTGCATAGTGATTCTTGCTTTTCTTCTTTCTTGCCATTCTCTATATGACCACTGCTACCTCTTGCAGAAATTGAAAGCACTGAAAGTCGACTCTCCTGGAGAATGGATTGTTTGGAACCCGTTCAGAAAAGAAAAATCATTAAAAGACCCACTTTCAAACTCATGGGCTTATTTGCTTTACATGTGGGAAGCAGCTTGTCTGCAGTCTGCCAGGTCTTGGTTCATTTGGGTTGCATGAAATCACCAGTACCCTCTACCTACGTGCAGCTCTTGTTTCCTGTTCCAGTGATGCTGAGATCACTGCTGCAGGCCTTTCACCATCTTCCCCGTCTGCCTGGAAAATACTTCCTTTTTGTTCATTTCACTCCTCAGCCATGAGAGCAAAACCCAGGTTACCTGGCTTTGTTGAGCCTCTTGTTCTTTGTGTGTTCCAGCCTCCCTCATTAAAGGTGGTCTTATGAACCTTTTCTGCCAGTCTCCAAACTGCTGGGAGCACTGACCTTCCCCTGCCAAGCGCCATGACCGTATATTGAAAACAAAAGTCAGACCTCCATTTTATAATTCTGGGTAATAGGCCATTTGTTTCGCTCTTAAAAGAAGAAGAGGAAAGCAATGAATGTAGGATTCATGCCAGCCAGTCTACATATCCTTACCAAAAAGAAAAAGGACCCTTACTACAAACAACTCAAATGCAGCTCATCGAGGAGAGCCGTTGAGGACATGGAGGTCCTGAAAGCCATTGGAAAGGAAGATCTAGATCAGTCCCAGTGCAGCAGCTGTGTGGGCTTCCTAGAGCCTCCGTAGATGAGCCTGACTCCAGTGACCTGCACGGTGACCTGTGCCATAATTTCCCTGTCTGCTTCCGCAGGTGTTACAGAATGTGGTGGTGACTAGCAACTGCTCTGCGATCCCCTTCCTGGCTTCTGACTCAAGCTATCACCTTCCGGAGATCCTGTTACGCCACAGGCCACACGAGGGAGGAGAGAGGGCCTGTCCTCATGCATCGGTGAAACCGAAGGCGTATACTTCTCCAAATTCCAGTTCAAATTACAGGCTTCTTGTTGTGTAGGAAAATTCCTTGTTTCAGCTACAAATCCCCGTGTAAAATGAACATAGGGATCCCTCCATTAAGGAGGTGAGTGGTGGATCTCAAATACTCTCAAATGCAAGGTGGGATTAACACAAGGCAAATACTGTGGGAATCGTCTGGTTAAAACACAGGGCGTGTATCTTTTTAGGAAGCTCTGTTCTGCATCATCTCAGCTGATACAAGAGTGGTAACCATGGGAGTCTCCAAGAAAAACTAACCACAGACTCAATACCTGCGCAGAGGACTGATGGATGAAATCTGTACCGTCCTCCTGAATAGTTAGCCAAATTCAAAGAGGAATGGCTCAAGTCTTCTATAACCAGAGGCTCCCAGGTTTCTGCTTTGAAGTTGAGAAAAACAGTGAGGTTCAAACTGCTTCTGTCATTTTTGCACGTGACTGAAAGGTAACTGAGTAGATTAGAGGAAGGCTGTGGCTTCATTCAGTAGATTTCATGCAATTGCAGAAGTTACCCTTTTTGAATTACTATCAGTAGAGCCTAACATAAGGGGCTGATGAAGAAGCATTCAGAAAGCTTTCAAGTCTCTTGCTGTTGGCTTCGTGATGACTTTCTTCATCACGAGCCTGAATGGATTTTGTCCCGGTCATGGAGTGTGAGCAAAAATGATAGTGCTCACAAGGCACTTAGTTTTCTCAGTTCTACTCAATTCTAATTGTAACTAGTGGAAAGAATACTACATTTTTAGGATGTGGTTCCAGGAAGCATTTTAAATAGAACTAGCCTCCAGCACTGTTCAAAATACAATCTAAATAATGCAAGATTGTTAGCAGAAAATACAGTGCTATTAAATAACACCAAGTAATGGACAGCTGTTCAAAGGCATTATTCTTGGTTGGTCTGGATCGTTAAAACTGGGAGCGTGTGACCTGATTTGTGCTCAGTAATACCCATAGTCATTCAAGAAAGTTAATAAATAATAATTGCAGCACACTATTGGCTATGCAGAGTGATTTTATCCATATTTTGTGGATTTGGGGTGCTCTATTGCAAAACATTGAAATTTTCCAACTATTTTCTTTCTCCCTACAAAAAAGGGTACACTTTTCAAATTTGAGTAGTTCAGAGGAAAGTTGACGTGTATTCCCTAAATCACAGAAGTATTTTCTGAAAAGCCCCCTAAAATGACTTCTTTAGTCCAAGGAACTTTTATTTCAAGTACAATAATATGATCTATGTACTTTGTGAAGATATGACTTTTTATAGGCTCTTTAAAATGGGAGACAGGGAAAATGTCCGCTGATTTCATTACAGAAATGTACATGTGACACTTTGAACAGGAGAGAGTGGGAATGGGGGCATCTGTGGCAAATGCAGTCTTTCCTGCAGTACCCACTGAGACGGCATGTGTTGTTCATGCGGACAGTGGGAAGGCAAAGAGCTGAGCTGGTGCTAATCTGAAATTTAGAAGGTGGCTTCAGCTCTGTAACCTGTCCCACTCTCCTTGTATCTCTCTGCGCCTCGATTTTCCTTTTAAAAACAGGAGTAATAGGCCTACCTTAACACTGCAGAAGGCCATGTGGAGACCTGCATCAGGAACCCGGTGTTTCGTGCAGTTCTGTTGAATTTGTAACTCTGATGATGCTGAAAATTGGAGGTTTCTGAGGATCACCTTTTGTTACGCCTTCCCTTGTCTTCCACAAATATGTGCTCATGGCTCACCTTTGACAGGAAGCCATTTGTTCCGTGTTTTGTCAGCACTTGTTTAGCATGAAGCTTAGAGTCGTGATGAAGTGTCCTTACAGAGCTTTTTATTTTCTCCCTAACTACAGACTCCCTTGACAGGGTGACATGTTGTTGCTGAAATGATGTACCAAAAAGATCTGTTAGGGAGTATGTTGGACTTTTTTTTCGATTAAGAGTATTGTCATGAGTCTAATTAGAGGGAGTAAGCATCCAGTATTATAAGGGTCTAGGTTTGACTGGCAGATCCTTTTCCAGATGCACGGGGCAATTTTTGTCTGCAGAGGCACCCTCTTACCTCAGCTAAACCCAATTGCAACAGAGCTGCTATGAAAGAAGCAGTAGCAAAGTGATAATACCTTCTGCAAGAGCTCACTGCAACTCCCTTTGATGGGGGAAACCACCCAGCATGTCAGTTTTTCTCCAGACTTTTTTGGTTATGGCACAGTCAATTAAAATGACAAAACGATGCATGATGGGAGGAAGAGCTTCATTATACTGTCGCTTGTACTTTGTAGTTTACTTTTAAGGACTCTGTTTGCCATCACACCTAATGAAGACCAGAAGCTGACAGCTTGGGTTGCAGCAATCCTGTGCAAAGTGTAAATACTTTACAGTAACACTGCAACAAATATCAGTTTGAGCTTTTATTGTGTCTCTGGGAACTCTGCTAGAGATGTGAGTCTGAGGGGATTTGAATTTAACCCTGTTTCCATGATTGTGAGGCACAGAACCGGGGTTGGTTGTGTTTATTCTACACTGATAGTGAGAAGACTAAACAAATCTGGATTTGAACTGCTCACAATAAAGTCTTCTGGATTTAACCCTATCAGGGTTCTCTGATGATAGAATACATAGTCGTTTTAAGAGCTAAGGGATTTAATTTTTTAGAATTTTAAGGCCAAAATGTGTCAGTGTAAGTACACAGTCCGTCTTCCTGCATACTGTATGCTGTAGGATTGTATTTGGCATTTCCTTTGGGGTGAGGAATTCTTCCTCCATGATGTGCTTTAACATATAGCACAGGACAGTATAAGCCTTTTTCTCAGTCATGAAGTACTGCATACCGCAGTGACATTGCCTGAAGGTGGGCAAGGAGGGTGAGGAGCGTCTGTAGCACGTATAGGAAGCAGGAGTATGATGAATCAGTACATCCTGACCTACACGTTTGAGGTGGCAATAGGTCCCGGTGCTTGTGGACTTACGAGCTTGTAAGAACTGCCACACTGGGTTAGATCACTTGTCAGCACACTTGCTACAGAGTTCTTCCCAATAAACCAGGAATGAGTCTTTACATCTTGTAGTAGTTCCTCAGTGCTGGAAATGCCCAAGACGACAGGCAATTTTTGAATGTGTCCCTGAAGTGTTTGTGAAGATGAGAGCTTAATGAAGAAACTTATGGTGCTGAAAGAAACATGGTAAAAAGGAAGTAAGATAAATGGAAACATCTTTCTGTCCCTGCAGAAACTCAACCTATTGCATGAAGGTGTCCATGTCCTTGACAGTAGCTGAGAATGAAACTGGGCTTTGCTACAACAGCAAGATCAGATATCTGGAAAAATCAGAAGTCACTAAGAGAAAGACCATCCCCTGTCCTGATATTGAGGATTACAAAACAGCCAGCCAAGAGCCGGACGTGGTATGGTACAAGGTAACTGTCACTGTATGACTGCTGTTGTGCTGGAACTATAAAAAGCTGCCAGTGCTTTCAGTCAGAGGCTTAGAAATGGTCTTTCTGAGCCTTGAGCAGTTTGTGACTGGTATAGAGGATGCTCTCCCAGTATTACAGAAGTAAAGTACAGGCAAAATTATCCAGCATAGTCATTGACCAACAGAAATCTGCATCAGTAAGGTTGTTCTAACTGATGTGGGAGGTTAAAACCTTATTCCTCAAACCATGTTTCCACACCACTGTGCATCTGTACCACGGCTTCCACCTTGATGGGATGTCTCCTTACTTCATACTGTAGTAGAAACAAAGGGAGGCAACCTAAAACGGAGCCAACGTTACATCAGCACCACCAGGTTCAGTACGGCTCCCCAGTTAGTTTTTATGAAGTCCATTGGGTAATTTCACCAAGGCCTGCTAATTTTTACCAAAGTCTGCTGGATAATTTCACAGAGATGTATTTACTTCTACTGAGGCCCATTGTGTAATTTTACAGAGGTCTGTTAATTTTTACTGAGGTCCGTTAGGTAGTTTTAGTCCTAGCAGGTAAGTGTGCTGGCTGTAGCTTCACCAAGGCCTCTGTGGTACCACGCACCACTTTCAGCAGCAGATACAGTGGTGATGTGTTGCTCCAGCTCCACAAGGGGCTAGGTGAATAATGCAGGTTGTCCGGCAAGACATCAGGTACCAAGACCCTGGGAAGGTCTTGGCAAATTTTACTTATTGTCCGGATTTGGACTGGAGTCTGATATTTGAAAAGCCCTTAGTGTATAAAGAGATAGGAGGAGACAATGGAGAGGGATAGAAAGATGAGGGTTGGAGGGATCAGCAGATATTGGGGCAAGAGGAAGAGCTTGATGGGGTTAGTGGAAGATGGGGTGTGGATTGCTGGAATAAAGACATCTGGGAGGAAGAGTTTAGGACACACTGGGTTCCAGTAATAAAGGCAATAATGTACAAAGCGGTTAAATCCTAAGTTTTGATGTCTTGATTGGGCAGCCTTGATAATATTCTTTTAAAATGATTCTTTTCCGTGAACTAAGTAATATGTGCAGAGCCACAGATTTTTTTTTACTCCTTAGCAGGATGCATCAGAAAAGAACAATTTTAAAAGTTAATCGTCTATTTCTGTTTTTTTACTGGTCTCACATGTTCCAGTTTATACTTACGAAACATGTGCCATAGCTCACTGTTAGATAAGCAAGATTTTTCTTTTAGTCATTAAAGCTGTTTCTCTCCGCATATGGGTGGAGATCTTCAGTGCTGTTCATATATAAAAAACATGTATTCAGTTAAGTCTGAAATCTTAAAAAAGAAGATATCAGGATGAAACTGTTCCTTGCCTTAGCTCTCTATGCATTACTGAACACTGCATCACTGAAGATCTTCTCATTGTGCAGGAGCATGCTGCAAAAATAATCTGGCAGGCCTAATTTTCAACTGTCATGGAGTAGAAATCAGGCGAAGGTAAATGCATGTACAACCCCAAATCAATGATGCCTCACGCTGACCAGAAATGGGAAAGGAAAGGTCTTTGTACCCTATATCCACACATTATCTGGGTTCCCCACACAGGCTGTGTGACACCAGCCTGGAGCGTGACAGCTGACTGACAAGTCATCGCAACAATGGAATTGAGCAGAATTGATATTGTTGTTTGATGATAACAGCAAGTCGATCAAAGTTGACAAACTTTAGCCTGGCGTGATAACGAAAAGAGGCATTAATGGAATAACATAACTACATATACCTTCTTGTTCATAATTAATGATAAAGAGCTATCGGTTCAGTTTCTGGATAACACCTGTGTTATCAGACTTGAGTCAGGAAGCTCAGTAGTTTGAAATGTCATACACATTAATGTTATGCAGAAGGTGGTATATATGCTGGATTATCCCTAGAAACCTCTTCCTGGACTGAGGTTTTAAAAAATATTCTACAGCTTATTATGGTACTAACTGTTAATAGAAATTCATCTCTACAAAAAAGTGTGAGTTAATTTATAATGAGATGATTACTAGAATTTCAAAACAATATGATGAATACCATGGTAACCCCTAGAAACCACACTGTGGCACTTAAGATTGTGCCGTGTGAGGCAATGTACGTAACGAAAAGCAAGTCCCAGCTCCCAGTGAATACTGTAAGGTGCTTTTCTGGCTTGGGACATGACCCTCACTTCCTGAGGCGGGCATATGTTTCCAGACACAACACACTGGATCCTCAGTTTTCTGGAGCGTGACCTATAGTTGAAGATGGCATCAGCCATCTTTCCATGTAAATCTGCCACAGAGACATTCGGAGGGCAGTGAGTGACTTTTCATTCTGCTGACTATTTAGTGACAATCTTTATCTGGTGGCAAAGCATAAGTTGTCTGAAATAGGGTAGTAGACAAATAAGTATGAGGAATTCCATGGGGTTCCTTCTTTATAACCTCAATTGAAAAGAGAAATCCTTGTGGCCATGAGAGACCCTGCCGGTCCCCGGATAATCTGGGAATTCGGACTTATGGCCAAAGAACTGCCGTCACACAAGGTATTAACGCGGCAAGCCCACTGTTACGCGGAGCTCAGCCGGCTTCCAGAATCGTTCTCTGTGTGGATGGATTAACGAATCAGAGCCAATAATTGCCTCTATTTAGAGGGAGTTAGCTGCCAGTTAAGCATCCTCTTAAAATAATTAGGCATGAATAGATTTCTACATGCACACCCAACAGGTAGTGATAAAACATTTGCTATCAGGATTTGTTTTAACACTAGTGTGAATTTCGCTTCTGGCTAGAATTATACTGTATGAAGTAACTGTTTCTAAAGATTTCCACAATTAATGCCATTATTATTGTTCACACAGATCCATTAGGCCTGTTAGAACTGTTTTGACAAGAAGAATAAGGATTTTTTGGAAATACATGTATGTGTCAAGACAAGATTGAATGAACAGAATTTAAGAGTAAGAGCAGTTTCATGAAAAATCAACTGGCAGTGGAAAAAAATGTATTACATCTAGAAAGTAGAGCCTTAATCCATCTCCACCACCTCTTTGCTATTACCGGGTTGAAGGAACAGCTGTGAAAACAATCAGAATGGCAGGTGAAGGACAGATAGTTGTTATCTACAATAACTACAGTTTTTGAGGTGCTACCACTTAAAATGTCAAGGAAGAGAAAAAGAAGCATAATAATGAACAACCTAGTTATTGAAAGAAAAAATTATTTAAGATGTCTAAGGAGAATAGGCTACTAAAAGGAAACTTTCAAATTCTCCCATCGGTTAAATATGGTACAAAAGCAGAAAAGAACAAGTTGGTTAAATGAGCAACCGTCATACACCTCTGCACTTACTGGTTCAGGGAAATTAGCAGACCTCTGATAGGAAAATCTAGAGTGTCTCCAGAATATGAAGACTGGTTAGATTTTCTTATAGTTTGTTTATTGCTCTTTTTTGTTGCTTAAAATAAGAATCGTTACAATGCTTTGCCTTCCTTCTTTTTGGCTTTCAGTTTTGTAGGTTGAACTAGCCTGTGAATAAACAGGCAGAATAAAACAGACATTTTCAACATGTATTTTGAAAGTCGGTAGTCAATGGAAGAAAATTAACTAGCTAAAATTTGGGAGAGAAAGGCTTACAAATCATTTTTAATATGAAATGTTTTATGTAGACAAGAAGGGAAACAATTAGGAAGTTAGTGATACGGTTCCAGCAGAACAATTCCTCACTGTAAAACTACACTATGTGCAAGCATTGTTTTTGTGTGAAAGCATTAATCTCTATAGTACTAAAGATTTCACCCTCCTTATTGCAAACAAGTAGAATATAAAAATATAAAGTATATAAAAATGAGGAGTTTTAATCTCTTCCCTCCCTGATAGTTTTCAAAATAAACTACCAAATATAAAAGTGGCAGCATATAGTGCTGCACTGAAAGGGTGCATATCTGAATAGGCTTGCTTTGTGCATTCTGGGAATTTTCTGTCTTCTAAATTAGGATTGAATAGAACTGCATCATATTCTTTGCCCAGTGTTCAGATTCGGTTACTCCAAGCTGGTGGTTGATGCAGTTACATAACACCTTTGAGCAGGTCTAAAAATTGAGTGCAAATCAGAAAGGGCATAATGGCATTTTCCTGCTCGGGAGATCTCGAGCCGTGTTAGTCTAAATTAGTAACAAAAATAAGCTCTGATTCCTCTTAGCACAGCAGAGAGGGATCTGGGTTCTGTTCGTTCTCTTGCATCAGTGTTAACTAAAGTTCACTTGCAAGACCTGATGATGCTTTCCTTACAACTGTACTTCCGAGTAGGAAAGATAACTGAACACTCAGGGACATGCAATGGAATTGCACAATTGCACTGTTCAAAATCTGACCACATTCTAACTGACTAAAATTTGGCCTATTAGGCAATTTCCTCCTCAAATTTCAGGTGCAAGGCCAAATGCTTGCAGTCCCATCTTTTTTCTTCCTTATTATTATCGTTTAATTTAGAAACTGACATTGTGGATTTGGAACACTTGTGGATTCCCATGAAAAAATGTTATTTGTGTCATTCTGATTAGAACAGAAAATGGGGCGTAGGTATGGGCTGACTTTTTACGTGAATCTCTGAAGTTGTTGAGCCTGCTGTAGCTGAGGTGAGATTGTTACTTGCAGTCTGAGAGCTTTTTCTGTGTTGCTGCCCTGAGAGAGGGCATAGAGCAGCATTTAAAGGTCCTTTGGCCCATAATTGTGTTGTTTTGTGTGCTCTGGGCAGCAGAATTAACCAGACCCTGCAGAATTGTCAGCAGTACTCAGTGTTTGAGAGAAACTGTGATTTTCTTTGCAGACTGAACAGACTTGATGTTGAAGCTATTGGGAGATAGTACACATATAATCCTAAAGCACGATTTTAAAGAGACAAGGATCAGATTGTGCCCATTCTTCTACGCCAGAGTATTCCAAGAGGTATTCAAACATGGGTACCGTTAAGGTGTCCGTGACTGATCAGCCTGCAAGAGTGCAGGACGTGAGGGAGGGGAGAGCCTCTTCTGGCACTCAGGGTTCACTGGATTACGCACTTTATGGAAGGGTCAAGCAGACTCAAAAGCTGTTCCAGTAGGACCATAATTCACGAAGATGATCCTAAATTTACTAAATAGCAGCTGAGGTCTGCCTGGGGAAGTCAGCGAGAGCTTCAGACTGTCAGTACCGTGTATGCAGTCAGAGGACCCACATGGGAGTGGGATGCTACAAAGGGCCCAGTAATGGGAAAAGACCGAGTCAGAGCTCACACTCATCGGGGTGCCAGAGAAGCCGATGAGGAGACACAGGACCAGAGGAAACTAGCCTTCCTGAATTCTCTTGCTCACAAAACTACTCTTATTCTTCCTGTTTTCTAGCCTGAAACTATGTAGTTTGCCTTCAGGCTAATTCTTAACAGACGTTTTCTATACTTCCTTCAAACAGGAGCTGTATTTTAATGATCTATCCTAAAGCAAAACAAACATCTTGGCAGTTGTTCGTCATGAAAAAGAGAAGATACTTCACCATTGCTTCAGGGCACCACATATGAAACGTGGCCCATGTGATACAGTGGGAGCTCTTGTACCTTAAAAACATTTCTGTTTAATTTTACATGCAGCGTGTTCAAATTAATCCCAGTTTTAGATCTTCATGTTGTCTGAAATTATATCTGAAATTGAATTGCAAGATGTATTGCAAAATATATTGAGATTGTTTACTTGTGTATAGTACTGAAAATCTGGACAAACTGCACTGTCTTTTGTTGTATAAGCTGGGTAATTTTGGCACATGATTATTTTCTGCAGGAATGTAAGCCAAAAATGTGGAGAAGCATTGTAATTCAAAAGGGAAATACTCTCTTAATACAAGAGGTCCAGGAAGAAGATGGAGGAAATTATACCTGTGAACTGAAGTTTGAAGGGAAGCTTATACGAAGAACAACGGAACTGAAGGTCACTGGTAAGAATCTTTGTTGTATGGAAGTAGAAAAAAATGGAGTTAAAAAAAAAAATTAAAGCGGCTTGCGCACATTAGCAAATGCATTTGATATAAGTGAGTCGAAACCAAATCCCAAGAGACGAGCAGTCCCCGGTTGGGGGAAATTTAGATCAAGTTCCTGTAAAATTCCACTGGAGACCTGGAGACATTTGCTCTGTACACAACATGGAAATGCTAGTTATAAAGCAAAAGGTAGAGTGGACCTGAGTCCTCCCTATGGGGTGGAAGAATTCAGACCCTAGTTAGGTCCCATCTTCCATGCTGAACTGAGGGAAGCTTGGCTGAACCTTTAAAACAGACTTCTGATAAGGTTTGTTCCGGTTTGTCATCCTGAGTCTTTTTTTTGAGTGATTGTTCCATATTTTTATCTTTGCTTTAATTTATGATAATCAACTTCTCTAGTGTAGGGGTTGTCCTCAGTGAAGAATGTGGCACAACCTGTTCCTAGAATGAAGCTAGGAACATTCGACTGTTAGGGGGAAAGCGATCTGCTTCCCGGGAGGTCATACATAGTACATAAGTTTCTGGGTTCATGGGGTATCCACTAATCAACAGTATATTTCTGTCTCTTTTTGTCAGGTAACAGAACAGTACTTTTCTACTGCCTACCCATATATTCCTGATTCTTTTTCATTCCACTGTAGAGTGTGACATTTATGAATAATATTTTGCCTTCAGGGTCTGTGGAACTTTCCAAATATCTGAAAATAGTTGGGGGGTTTTCAGCCTTTCACACAAAACCATACAAACAAATGGTTAGGTGTTTTCCCATCTGTGTTTTGGCATATTGATCGAAGTAGAGTCCTGCTTGAAGCAGTGATAAGATAAGCAGAATTTCACTTTCTTATATCAAACTGAATTAGTCTATATGATATTTCTAATGTGTTCTTGAAATACAATTGTTCCCTTCATTGTAAGCGAAATCCATTTGTCTTCTCTTATCATAATTCCTCATTTTAAATGAGTTCTTTTCCCTGGGTGTCAGGCTCATATATCATTGATTCTTTATTGTCCATTTTTGACCACGGACAGATCTCTGAAGTATTGATTTGACCTACCTAACCCCAAACCTGTCAAATGAAGATGTAATACCTACCTTGTGAATAGTTGCTATCCTAGGTAGCATGCTAGTCTTCAACCTGAATGTGAAATAAGTTTGACAAAGTGAAAATGAGGTGCATCTAATTCAATTCCACATGATGGATATTCTGTAGATAATAGATATTCTGTACTCTCCCTCTCATCATGACCTTGCGAGTACTCATATCTTCTCTTCATTATTTGAACGCTCTGGTTTATTCATACTTCACCATTTAATGTATTTGCCTTAAACTAACTGTAGTAGATGTTAGAGTTATTTGTTCTATTAAAATGTTTATGACCTGAAATCTTAAAAATGTAAATATGCAATATGAGAGTGAATATGATTTTTTTGAAAAATACTTGAGAATGAAGAGATTGTTAGCCTTGTATATTGGTGTGAGGTTCGTATTAAATTAAATTTTGTTTAATTTACAAAAGCCACGTATGTTAGTATGTTACATAATCAGTGTTAGACACGCAGCAGCAAATAGCACAGCAGGAAAAAAGAAATCATCTTAATTTACATGATTTTTAACCAAACCTTTTCTCAGTTTTAAATGTTTGGGAGACATATTTGATTTTATGTGTTTACTGATTGAATCTCTTTAGATATTTGCAATAGGCTAGTAAGTTTCTGTAGATGACAACCTGACTAGATGGATAAGAGCTATAAATTTAATAGATAGGACCACTTAGGAATATTATCTTTTTGCTTGGTGCTTCACAAAGATTCTTCTGTTTGTGTTTTGTTTCAGTTTGTGAATTTTATTTGCAAGTAGCTTTAGGTCTTTATGAGTGGGTCAAAGAAAACTCATACACTCCACTCACTGAATTCTTTACATCCTCTCATCAGATATTATATATATATTGATAAGATCCCCCTGAGCCTTGTTGTCTCCAGGCTTAGCGGTCCCAGCTGTGTCAGCCTCTCCTCGTATGACAGACGCTCTGCTCCCTTAATCTTCTATGGCCCTTTGCTGTACTCACTCCAGTGTCCCATGTCCCTGTCAGACTGAGGAACCTGCAACTGGACACAGCATTCCAGATGTGGCCCCGCCAGTGCTGGACAGAAGTTCTCCTGATGACAACACTTTTTTTTTTAAACGTAGCCCAGAAGGCTGTTGACCAACTTTGCCACAAGGGCACGTTGCTGACTCGTGTTCAACTAGTTGTCCACCAGGACCCCAGGTTCTTCTCTGCAAAGCTGCTCTCCAGCCAGCCAGCCCCCAACCTGTACTGGCACATGGGGTGATTCTCCCCAGGTGCAGGACTTGGCACTTCCCTTTATTGAACTTCATGAAGTTCCTCTCTGCCCATTTCTCCAGCCTGTCGAGGTTCCTCTGAATGGCAGCACAACCCTCTAGTGTTATCAACCACTTCTTCCAGTTTTGGATCACCTGCAAACTTGGTGAGGGTGCACTTGATTCCATCATTAGGTCACTAATGAAGTTGCTAAACAATATTGGCCCCAGTATTGACCCCTGGGGAACACCACTAGTGACTGGTCTCCAGCTGGACTATATGCTGCTAGTCACAACCCATTGAGCCTGGAAGTTCAGCCAGTTTTCAGTCCAGCTCAGTATCCACTTATCTAGTGTGTGCTTCATCAATTTGTCTGTGAGGATGTTGGGGAGACGATGTTGAAAGCCTTGCTGAAGTCAAGATAAAGAACATTCACGGCTCTCCCTTCATCCTCTAAGCCAATCATCTCATCGTAGAAGGCTATCAGGTTGGTCAAGCATGATTTGCCCTTCATAAACGCATGCGGACTACTCCCAATCACCGTCTTGTCCGTAGTATATTTAGAAATTACCTCCAGGAGGATTTTCTCCATCACCTTTCCAAGGATCGAGGTGAGGCTGACTTTCTTACAGTCCCCAGGAATTCTATCAAACCTCTTATGCAATTTATTTTAGTAGACAGTTATAAAAAGCTAACTGTACAAAAGATTAAGTGATGCAGCCATTTAAGATTGGACTTGTCTGGCTACTAAAAGTAAAGATGTCAATCTGGAAGGGTCATCAACGCCAAGTGGACCTACCCTCCTTTGAAGTTGTATATTTACTTAGTCCAGTCCTGACATATGTCTGTTTTCATCTTGTCTTAGAAACGCCTAGTGAAAAGGCTTTCGCAGTCCCATTGGAAATCTGTTCCAGTGCTTAGTAGTCTTTAAAAACATGACATTTTTTGTACTCCAGTCTAGATCCTTTCTTTTACCAATTAAGAAGATACCGGTGTCCCTAGTGGATGTTGAGAACAGTTTTACAGCTGCCTTTTATTTATTAAAGGACTATTGTCCCTTCTTTTCTAGACCAAACTCATTTTCTTCAGCCTTCCTAGATAGGTCATAAACATCTTATCATCCTTGTGTTTCTCTGACTTCTTTCTAATTTCACTTAATCTTCCTTTACATTTGGCAATCATCTTCTAGCTGAGACCAGGCAATTCTGAGTTGAAAATTCAACCTCTGCTACTGACACTTGTGTGGATACATCCCAGAAGAATGCGAGTGGCTCTTTTTGACCCAGTCGGGTGGCCAACTAACAACTTCTCTGCAGCGTATTGCAGACTTCTGTACAACAGCAGCAGGTGGGTGCTGCACTGACCTATAGCAGTGAGCTAATGGCACTCGGCCAGTAGGACTAGCTTGCCTGAAGGCTAGTTGTAAGCACTGTTATGGCTGTATGTACACATACAACCTATATTAATCGCAGAGAGAGAGATCGTCATCCGAATACCTAAATCTTTCCTCTGTCATCATCTGACTGGAGCTATATATGTAAGGACCAAGGTGATGCTGATGTGCCGATAGTTTGCAGATAATCCCCCTCCAAACAGGAAGTTGAAGAGCAAATGGAGTAAAAGAGTAAATTGTTAAGACAGATTTTTCCTTAATTTTTGCAGAACATCTGGCTTACCATATGTTCGGGGAGAGGTGTTAATAATATAACACTTTTTATCTTACCTTTTTTACTGAATTACTGTGTCACTGTGGGACAAGAGTCCGTTCTGTGGGAGGTTTGGTGAAGTCCAGCCAACTAATTGAAAACTTCCCTCAGCAGATAGTTGGTACAATTCAGCCAAAGCCAAAAGCACATTTGCTGTCAGCTGCTGTGGCTTTCTTTTTGTGAAAGAGGAAAGCCTATCACAGAGCCAAACAGTGTTAGTAGCAAAATTAGTGCAAAGCTCTTTTACTGCAAGGAAACGGTCAATGACACCTTTTCAGAGGGAGTGTGAACGAGCGTACTTCCCTTGAACTCTCTGTACTTGTGGTCATGACACAACAGATAAAATAGTGAGGAGTAAGTTTATGTTCCAGTAAACATGGGCGTGAAAATGCAAAAAACAAGGCTCCCTCTGACTTGAACGTATCTTAGTATAGTGTTCGAGACTATGTCTCTGCCACTGCCTGTTCTGAAGGCCATCTGCAAGCTGTGATAACTGCAAGGAAATGCAGGGATGAGAGCCTTCAGGCCAGATTGTTGGGGCACTGGGCCACATTATTCCCTTGTCTGGAAATGAATGTCAAAAGACATTACTACACCAAGAGGAGTCTAGGATGGGACCTGAGCTCAGACTGTTGAACCTGCTGCTCTGTAGAAATCACTGTCAGTGAGTACTGCTGAAGACTTAGCGGCAAAGCCATGGCAGCTTTATCACTGCTCACCGGTAATTCGGATGTGGAGGAGAAGATCCTGCCTACTGTTTTCAGAGGCAGAGACTTTCTAATGCTGTTTCTATTACTGTTACTTATTAACATGCCTGAATGGCATTTATGGTACAAGTGCCTGAGTTCCTCTAACAATATAGATTTTGAACAGCAAGACCCTGTTGGTCACTGCCGGCAGCCATGGTAACCTGAAATTGTTATGAGAGTA